TAATGTACTCCCTTAAGGAGAGCAAATTAGTCACAGGACTTTGACCCAAAGCCACTCACCAAACTACAGACTTTGTAGCCCAGGCCAAGCAATGGTTTATGAAGAACATATATCAAAATGGGGCAGGTTACATAAAGGATGTGGCAATGTCCTCTGCCGTCCTCTATCATTATCAGTCACTTCAGATCAAATCATCTAGCTATTCAAAGTACTGTATTTGTTCATGAACATAAACAAATTTTCAAAATGCAAAAGAATAGAAAGTTTTAACCTTTCTAGTGACAAGCACGGATACACACAAGTTTGCACATTAGCAGAACCTTCAGGGCTCAGGGAAAGATAACACACACTGAAGTGACTATTTTAATGAAGAGAAACAACTACAATGCTTCTTTGGTGGCATACATGACAACTGAAACATGCAAATTAAAATATTAATATCTGTACCAGCTATGGGGCCACAGGCAAGTTAGATAATGTCCCTTCACATCTTCATCTGTAAAAGAGTATTAGAAATAATTTCTAAAGTTCCCTCCAATAAAAAATCCTATAAATCAATGAGTATTTGAACATTCCAGCTGGATTACTATCTTTTTTTTTTTATTTTAACGTATCTTTAGGATCTCTCTTGACTTGTTCCATTGCTAAATCTCATAACAATACTGATGCTGATAATAAATTTTTATGCCTAACACTAACCACCCTCAACCTTTCTACAGTCGGAGCCAGTTTCCTTGAGCGTGGGCCTCTGAGAGTTAGAAACAAATGGCAGTGTTCTCGACACAGGAGAGCCCTTCACCAATCCTACTGGAATCCTGTCCTTAAAGTGCCCCTCACTCTTCCCAAGACCACAGCAACCCCACGATCTTTACTCAGCTGCATTCTCTAGAATCTGCTCATTATTTTGCCTCTACAGAGAGGCATGAATCTGCCTGACAGTACCAAGTAAAGGCCTGGGGAAGAGAGAAAGTGGAGCACTTCTTGTAATATGATTATTGCCCTGCAGAGACTGCAGTTGGTTTTTCCAAATGCTAATTAATGCCCCTAAATAACCTTCCTTTTATTTCCTAGCAACAATTCAAACTGAAATCATGAAGAATGAATCTTTAAAAACCAAGTACATAGAAAGGCTTGAAAAGTTCCAAAAAGTTGCACTATTTTGGCCTAGAAAAATAGTACAAAACAGGAAAGACTATTGAGATGTTAGCAACAGACTCATCTTCAAGAAATGTTCTTTCTGAATGAAGTAAACTGAGTCACATTCCAGCAGAGCTATAGTACTACTAACGGACTACTACCAGCCCTTTGTAAACATCCCAGGAAAAGTTTTACATTGCCTTTGTTTGCACCCAAACCCATACTTAGACCTCAGTGGTACTCCAGTCAAAAAGTACTCCCTTTGGTATAATTAGCCTTTCTTGCTGCAATTTATTTTTGTTTTTCTGGTTCTACATGCCAGAGAAATCAATAAATTTTATGCCTAAAAAACTAGTGTCCAGAATATATTTAGAAGAAGAACACAAACAACTTAATAAAAAACTGAGTCAAAGCTCTGAATAGACACTTCAACAAAGGCGATGGGAAGTGAACACATGTGAAGATGCTCAACATATTGAGTTACGTGGGAAACTCAAGGTCCACTATATGGTGATAGGAAAATGTGTTACAGGATGAGTAAACACTAGTGAAGATAGTATGAATTATTAACAGATTTAATAATAATGATCTACTACTACACACTCAGAAGAAATAATAAATGAAAATGACTGAGCTTACTGAGGCTAAAGAGATGGCTCAGTGGTTAAGAGCACTGTCTGTTCTTGCAGAGGACCCAGGTTGGGTTTCCAGCACCAACATGACAGCTTACCATCATCCATAACTCCAGTTCTAGGGAATCTATCACTTTCTTCTGGTCTCCAAGACCACTAGGCATAATACACACAAGCAGGGAAAACACTTATACATATGGAATAAAAAAAGTAAGTCTTAAAAGGAAAACAAAAATCTGAGCATGTGAAGTGTGCGCCTGACCACTATTACATTTAGCTGGTGGGAATGTGAAATGGTTCAGGAACTATGGAAAACAAGTTTTCAGTTTCTTAAAAAGCTAAAGCAACGACACAACTCTCCCATTTCACTCCCATGTAGTTAATCTAGAGAAACAAAAGCTAATATCTATACAAAGACATGTACATGAATGGAAGTTCCTAGCAACTTATCTACAATGGCT